TTCTAATATAAAGCTGTCTCAACTATTGATATTATATATTTTCATTTATACAGTTACTCTGGATGACTATTTGTGTTCTCGGCACCCGACTATTATTATCGGGTAAACAAGTAATTGCTTCAATAAGTATACGTTTTAAAACTTTTCTACCTATAGCTTAAAGGTGTCTCAGCTACTGATATTTATATTTTCACGAGATTAATAGTTTAACATACATATGACTGAGCTTTTTTATCATGAAACACAAAACGACTTCCATATCGGAGCGAAAATAACACTTACGTTTAACAGCATGTAAACTCCCATTCCGTCTACAACAAGGACTGCCAAGGACGTCCTCAGTAAACCAGGATTCACCCGAAAAAAGTAAAGAACACAGCTCACATAGTTTGATCTTGCTTTCACATACACGTTCGCAGGCGATATTTTGATATAATGTCATATTTTTCCTACCACAAAAAATCTACCTATGAGTCTTTTCTAGGTGTTCAAACTAAACAATGTCATCAATTTATTTCAAAAGTAAGCATTGTTATATTAACGGTTTCGACGCACAGGTAGTGTTTCGTATGTCAATGTGAAGAAGTATACTAAATTTAGCAAGGTGTTTGAAACACTTTTACAGTTTTTCTAGAGATCATCTGGGCACATGACTCATTATTACTGGGAAAACCTGTAATTGCTTCAAGAATTATACATTTTATAACTATGGGACCTATAACTTATACTTTATCAAAGACTTTATCAAAGAAATTTAATAAATCAAAACATACTATTTCAAACACAATTCTAAGCTCAAATAACGTATGAGAAGACAACAAAGAAGGATTACATTTATGGCTAGTATCTAAATGGCCGTTATCTTTCTCCGATATCATGTTCTATTTTCCACTCACGTCCGCGGATTATATTTCATATGGCACACAGTTTAAACAAATTATTAACGTACATTTCCATCTCAAAAGGTGACGTCTTCACTGTCAATGAAATAATTGACATTTTGCTGAGCTGATGTCCCAATTAGCGAAGGTGACAAACACGATAGACAACCATGGAAATCCTGACTTGTACCAGGGCCATTTGAAATATGGCAGCACAAGCTACGGTAGTCTGTCATACAGACCCTGAAGCAAATATATCCAAGAAAGACCACGCAAGTCTAGAAAATGTGGCAAGTCTAGATTTCCACAGCTTCAGGTACGGTATATCAACGAGTATCTGAGGACCACCACCTGACTGCTATTACATATTATCACAACATAGTGAATTATTGGGTTGCGGGGTAGCCAATGGTTAATGCGTTCGTGTTCGAATCCCAACTTCCCCACTTTCTGGTGTCTCTCGCTGTGATATTGCTGAAAGCGACGTAACTTCATATCTATTCACACTCTGTAGATAGTGATTAATAGTTACATACATGCGACGTGCCTAAAGATTGAAAATTCACAGGAAATGAAGACGCCGTAACGGGTTCAGCACTTCAAGCGCTACATCGTTATGAGGAATTGAAACAACCTATTGATAAACAAAGTGAGACTACGAATAATATGCACACAGTGAAAATGCCCGCTGTTGAATCTGGATGGGAGGTTGATGAAACATGAGACCATACTGTGTTTCGTGTTAAATGTACATGACGCGTTCAATCTAAAAACCCTTTCATTCTTTGTTGCTTTTGTGGAATTGAAAATTGCAGTTTTCCTTCGAGAAGAGCAGAAGTAGGTAGTGTGTACCACGCTGTATCCATTTCATTATGAAATCCTCATGAGAAGCACCATGATAGATATGTATGCGTTGTTGGCGTGCAATCACTCGGAATAAGTCTATTTATATTCAGTTATTATGTATTGAAAATGAACCTACGAAAGTGCCTCGGTTATATATAGCTGGCGTATCACAATCCTTACTTACAATTATATTAAGCACTACCTGTTTGGTGTAATCTCATTGATTTTTGGTTGGTTTTGATTTGCCCTTTTCAAGTATATGCCCTGGTATCCCTACTTTCCTGCTTATTTTATGTTTTTAACATGGTTCATTACACTGTAATGACATTATTTCTGGTAATTATATCAAAATTGTATTTAGATGTATTTCATTGTTGCCTGTTTCCCATCAAGACAACCTTATGTTTATACCATTTTTAATAAGACAAAATCACATTTGTATCACATATGGGTATGTACTACATGCATATGTTGGAAACCTTATATTTCGAGATGATATACATGAGTGATGTGTGCCAAATTGATGTACAATTCATCTCAAAACATGATGCATTCTTTGTCTGTAAACATTTGCGTTTGTGAAGCTATAGGTGCGTAGGAATTGCATTCCAGACCAAACTACTTGAAATGACCTTCAGAATCCGTGCAAATGAATCAGATCAATGTTATCTGCCTTGTTATATTTGAAATAGGACACTTTTAATCGATATATTCATGAAAATCTTTAATTGTAAACAGATGACTAGTAACTTGTAATTTGTCTTACCCTGTAATTTTTTCTTTTTCCATCGATACGAACCGACTGCTTTCCTTCCTTCTTGTATCAGTGCTAGGATGTAGACTGCAAGGAGAGGACAAGTGTAACTTTACCAGAAAGCATTTATTAATATACTATCATGTATTAAAAAATCTAATAAACATCATAAAACTTGCTTGCATCTTATGGATATGAAGTCTGGATATTGTTCTAGAAATAATTTTGCCGTATATATTTCGTTTTCCTGAAAACCAAAGAAACAGCATAAATTAGTTTTTAAGACAGGCATTTTGTTATTTTCCACACTCAGATTTCCCATAGCCACTCCTAAACTGGCAAACGATGATAAGAACAAATATAGATTTTTTAATTTAAAAAAAATATATTGTGAACCAACCGTCCGACCCAATTTTATATATTTAGAAAATGCTGCTCATATAGACATGAAGTGTTGTCAACTCACAACCATATCCGAATTTTAGATCCAAACGCCCTTCTCGTCACACGGACAACTGTTAACTGTAACAATGGATTGTTCACTCGTCTCCAACACCAATTACACGAGACAATAGTCAAGTCAACTAAAGTGTGAAAGTCCAAAGCAAACTAACTGCTTGCATCAATCATTTGATAACTTAATGATTGTTTGGATAAACTTGAGATTACAGCTCTACTGATCACCTTTATGTGTGTTCATGCACAATGATATAATCCGACAGGTTATGATGTTGCCTGCAGGCATCAGTTGAATCAAAACGATCTTCTTTTAACTGTTGAAATGCAAGGAACAGGTTGCCAGTGTACATGAAACCAACATTTCATACCTTTTCATGTTTTGTATAAGGGAACTTCTTTGAATTGCATTCAGAAATTGGTGTAATGAACAACAAGGAGAGTTCTATGGATATGCAACTCCTTTAATATAATATAAGCGACGTTTCGCAAGTGACTTGCTTGATAACGGTGTTAGAAGCTACACCGAAACGTCGCCCATAGAACTCTCCATGTTGTATAAGGGAAGTTGTTTCTGATTTGTTCTGGGAAGTGGGGATGATTGTTTGGTTGTTTTTCATGTTTGTTTCTTTGTTTTGTTTTATTTTGTTTTCAGTTCGTTTGTTTGTTTGTTTGTTGTTTTTTTAGTTTTATTTAAATCACTTGAAACAGCATCTGTCAATCTTATATTCTTATGTTGCTTGCATGTTAAAGCATACTTAAATCCTCATACATTGATAAATGAATGCAATATAATCAATCTTGTTTCCACACGTGTGTGGAATTTATAACATCATGACCATAGTCATCTTGTGTTAATGCCAGTTACATGTTTAATCTCATGTAGAAAATGACTATACACGGACCGTCAGTGGTTTTTCGTCAGTGTTGCAATTCAATAATAATTAGATTTCGATAATATGCATTCTGTATGCATATACACTGAAGTTAAATTACCATATTTCCAACTTCACTGAGCAAAGAAAACAAAACTTTCTATATTCATAAGAATATCTCCAGAGAAGACCAGAATCGATGGTATAACATAAGCACGCTTTCTAAATCACTATGGAATATTACTAATAGAAGGTGCTCATGAAATGATGAGTATATTGTTCACCATCAGCATCCATCACAAACAACTTCAAGGGGAATATTGGTAGTTCCCTTAAAAAACGCCAGGAACACTTGGTACAAGTTAATGATAGGAAAGGCATTGTTCATCAATTTGGTCACTGAGGCGTCACATTTAGAAATGTACCCCAAATGTCTTTCAGAAAACGTTTTGAAAGTTTGATTGAGTCTTTGAATGTTGTACCTTTGACTAAACAACCTTTGTTCAAGATAGATTTCCATGTCAAAACGTGACGTCTTCTTTGTCAATGAAATTTGTATTTTCCCTTAATCTTATTCTCCAGTGTTGATCAAATAAGCATTATTCCTGGCATCACAGGCCATTTATTTATTCCTGGTATGTTGATCATGTTCGTTGTTTGCTAAAATATGCATTGTGGTTCACCTCGGCGTCTACACTTCTGTCAGCTTCAGGCATCTATCTTTATTTCTGAGGACAACAAGAGAGAGGAAGAAACTATCGTATGTACACTGTATGATACTGGAACGCATGGGAAGTTAGAAACTGAAGGTAACCTTTTACATAAAGCGGGATTAGATTTAGATTTGATGAATGGCTACTGCATAAAAAAATCAATAGATGGGGAGAAAAGGTGTTTTATAACAACATTAGTATTAAACATTAAACATAAACATAAAGGCACCCACACTGTCTGCAGGTCCGATGGATGTTGCGCAAGATATAATTGCCTGGTGATCTGTCGGGCCGTTAACAATGGCCCTGACATTATTTTCGAAAGAATGAAAAATGTGTATCCAATGCCACAACGCAGTATTGCTTTGTTGTGCAGAAGTAAGTTTAACAATATATGGAGAAGATAGATTCTCGCTGTTTTAAATAACTGGCGACACTTTAATTGATCCCCCCTTATTCTCGAAACGTCGTAGCCCTAAGAATTCTTAACTGCTTACGCACAAAGATAAGAATTCTTAAGAAAATGTTTACGACCTATTCTCGAAACGTTCTTATCGAGTTCGTAGCCCCAACACGACTAGTCACGTTTTAGTAAATTTTCGTAAGTTACGAAAGGAACTCTTTTGTCTCAAAGGGAGATTGAGTAGGGGGTTTTCCCGTGACGTCACAAGCACGAGGGAATTCCCATGTTTACAAACAAGGCAGACGATATCCCGGATAATGGAGTCTTGCATTCCCAGCACTCCTTCAAGGAAGCAGCGCACGTCCAACTGGTCCGCCACAGAGGTGGACATCCTGATAGAAGAAATAAAGTCCAATTATGGCGTTCTATTTGGACACTTTTCGTCCCAGGTGTCGGCTTCACAGAAGAAGAAATTATGGACGGACATCGTGACCAAGTAAGTGCCAACCAACCATTTACATAATTTTATTTATAGAAAATTAGTGCAAATGTAAAATCCAAAAATGATATCCGTTGTCGTTACATATGAATTTAATACTAAATATTGTGTTTTTATTTAGTGATATAAGGTTTTGAGTTACATCCAATTCATAGCATAGATATATTTATGCCTATTTCTTGAAGATAATCAAGTGTTGTTTGTATCTGTTATTTTTTTTATATCCCCTTGACATTGTTTGTGGGTTGTTTTTAAATTTCATGATAAATACATTGTATTCCTGAAATAAACCTGTTATGTGTTTCCCCTTGTTTCATCCAATTATATTACTTTACAGAATAAATGCCAATGGGAAAACTGTCAGGGATGTTCCCCAGGCTAAAAAGAAATGGGCTGACCTGAAGTAAGCATTTTAACATTTGTATGAACATGTATGTTTTCATCAGTGAAAAGTCACAAATCATAAAAAAAGTGAATGAACACATTTACAAACTGTCCACCTCTGCATCTTTTTGCATTGGCTCTAAGTTCATGTAGTGAATATTTTTCATCTATTCATAAATTGCACAAGCAATCTAGATGTACTTAATGGATAAATAATTGATCTCTTTATCGTAGTGAATCACAAAGGATGAATTAAAAAAGGAATTTATTTATTTATGACAGATAAAACAAGACTACTGTGAATAAGTTTCACCACATTTATTAGTAGGAAATATGATGTAAGTTGGATAAAAATATATATCACAGATTTGTACAACAATTCTTTAAGAATATTGATGATATAAATATGAATAGGAAAGAAAGTTATTATTATTACAATATTTAAGGCATTTTGACAATAATAATCATAAATTAATGTACAATTATTCAGCAGTAATGAATTCACATACATTGATATCACCTAGAGAAAAACAAATGTAACAATACTTATTTAATTCTACAACGGAGACTAAATTTGGAAAATTGAACAAACATATTCCAACACAATCAAAATGAAAAATAACTAATGCTGTATTTTTACTTAAAAGGAGTATCACCAGGAAGAAGGCAGCACACCAGAAAAAGGAGCAGAGTAAGACAGGGGGTGGTCTGCCTGATACTGTTATTGATCTCACTGAGTTTGAAAATAAGGTCAGTATTTATCACACTCCTATAAATGAATATTAACCATTAATCAATATCATTCACTAGCAATCTTTTCTGTAATGAGTAGTTGCAATGTTATGAATTTATTTTATCTATGATAAATTGTTCTTATCAATTTTAATCCAATATGAAATATTTATAATTTTGTTACTGAATATATTGTCTGTCAATCAGAAATATGGGAAATCATTGGAATTACAAAACAACTATAGCTATAGGTATTTATTAGAATGTGTCATTTAAATGCACATCTCAATCATTTCAATTTTTTATATTTTCAGATCATCTCCATCATTCCTGCATGTCAGGTTCAGGGCATAGAAGGAGGGCTGGAAAGTGAAGCCTGTGAATGTGAGTATATACTCGCAATCCAGTAAAATGAACCAGTTCAGTACAGTACAGTACAAAATCATGTAAATAGCGATGAGTCCCTTTTGCTAATCTAACAAAACCATATCATTAAAAGGTACGTTAATGAATAGAAGATATTTGTCATTTCAGCTGTGCTGAGAAATTCTCCAAATAGAGAAATTATGTCTCAACAAGGATAGCTTGTGTTCTCACTACTATTAGATGTTTTTAATTCAAATACTTCATAAAATATCCTTATAGTGCCACAACCAGACATGGCAAACTATCCAGAGGAAAGTGACACACAGGATTCAGTTCCAACATCATCAGCGACAACATCAGCAGCAGTACCCGAGTTTCAGCAATGTGATCCCACTCTCACGAACTCAGAAGGTAATCGTCACTGTGAAAAAGACAAATCAATATGTAAATGAAAACAGACATGTGAAGAACAATAAGGAAATAATTGAATTACTCGCACATTGAAAATATCACATTTTGTTCATTATATTTCTTTATTACTCAATGTGTAATAAACTTGTGTGCCTCTGATTAATTTCTCTATGTATGGTGTGATGTAAATGATAAGATAAATAATTGAGGTCAGGGTGAAAATATGATGATTTAAGAAACACATGAAAAGTGAAAAAATGATGATTTAAGAAACACATGAAAAATTACCTCAGATATCTCATTGGCAAGTACACATAGCATCAAGCCAAGTCAATGTGATAGTAACATGTTTATCTTATTTTATATAAATATGTAACCTAATATCCAATGTAAATGATGAACAATTACATTTTCAGTTGAAATCGTCTTGCCCTGTGAGCAGAAAAGAGTCAAGTATAGCACAAGTGAGTAAGAACTTTACATGTGGAGTGACACGATATATGATATCAATGTCTGGACACTGTATCTTAGACAATACAATTGTCAATACAACTCTTGTGATATCTATTTTTAACTATAGAGTTTATAAACCTATGTTAGTCAATGATCAATTTGTTTTTGTCGAAATGACATTCCACTATTGGGTACTGTTAAGGAATAATTCAGTCTAAATATGTCTTATTTGATTTCAGACTATTATTTTATAATTGTCATTATATGATGACATTTCTTTATTTCAACAGATGCAAGGTCAAGTGAGAACCTGTCACTGAGCATTCTGGAGGTGGAGAGGGAGAAGCTCTGTGTACAGAGGGATCTCCTGGCCACAGAAAAGGAGCGGCTGGCTGTAGAGAAGGAGCGCCTAGCTGTGGAGAGGGAGATTCTCCATTGCCTGAGGCAGCAGACTTCAAATGAATCTGACTTGTTTTTGTCACCTGTCATACCTTTTTGAAACCTTTTTGTGATACTAGATTCAGTCCATTTTACATGTAAAAAAGTTGAATTGAAAACAACACAAATTAAACAGTTGATGACACACAATATCATATTTGTTGTTTGTAATACTCTTAATTGCAATACTTTTTAACACACACCTTCATGTGAATATGTCCTGTACTAGCTTCCGCCTGACTGCATATCCATCCTGTGCCTGGGGTCCCTGGTACCTGGGCCCCTCGTCTGCTCCCTCCTCCTCTAGCTCTGGGGGGACTGGCTCCCTTAAATCTATGCAGAAGTTGTGCAGTTGGCAGGCAGCATACACAACTCTGTTCGCCTTGGCTGGTTGGAATGGCAGACACCCAGTTGTTTTGTGCAGGCAACTAAACAAAGAACACAAACTTCATTATAAAGTGGGGGCAAAACCATACAAAAACCCCTATTTTTGATACTTTTCTCTACATTAGATCATTACTTAATTGCTTATAAATATATAAGGAGTAAAAAGATATGTAGCACACTCAAAATATTACTTTTTATTCTCAACATTACATACAGTATACATGTATAGTAGTACATGCAATTAATAATTAAATGTCAATTACTTCACATACCGAAACCTTGATTTAAGTAAGCCGAAAGCTCTCTCGACTGTGTTTCTTGTCCTTATGTGTGCTCTGTTGTAGGCCTCCTCACCCCCTGGGCTTGGGTTGACATATGGCGTCAACAACCAAGATCTGCATGCATATCTATTTTATAAAAAATTGAGTCACTATAACAGTATATTTTCCAGAGACAATTAATTATGACATGCTAGGAAAACATATATGGAACAGTTTCCAATTTATTTCAAATAGCTTTATTTTATTTTTTTACTTAATTTTATCAAACTGAATATTTGCATATTTCAATTTCATCGCCCAGCAGGGTTAGCATTTAAGGTGAAGGTCAAAGACATATGCCATTTACATTTCACGTAAATCGATGATATTATAAATTTGTGCATTTTGAAATAACGATGAATGCATTTTGTTTCAGAGAAACCTTATTGACAAGAGTAGTGCCCCCCACCCTTAGATACAACCTTTTGGGCCTTTCAATTTCATTGGGTTAGTGTAAGGTCAAACGTTTGTAGCATCCTATAAATTGGTACGATGTACCTCAGAGGTTGAATCGCATTTGGTATGGCAAGGTTGAATCGCAAATGGCTTGAACGTTCAAAGCGTGGAAACCTTTGCGGCACACAAACGCTTCTTCGTCGGCAGCCGGTCGAGTGATGGGGATGAGTGTCCCGTCGATCGCTCCAACAACACGAGGGAACCCGGCTATCCTGTAAAATCCTGCCTTCACTTGCCGAAGCGCTTGATCGTCGATCGGGAATTTGATCAAGTCCAACGCTCCGACAAACCCGTGAAGGCAGGAAGATATAGACCGGGACACACTCGGCTGGGAAACCCCGTGCAGGTCAGCTAGTTCAGACTGGAAACCCCCCCTTTCCCAGATAGCGAAGGGTGACAAGCACCTGCAACTCTGCATCAAGGGGCACAGAACGCTGCGTCTGTCTCTCCAGGTGGGGCCTGATCAAAGTACATAGTTGCTCTATCGCTCGGCGAGACATCCTGTACCTCGCAACTAACTCTTGGTCGTCCAACAAATCCAAATATCTCGTCCTGTTTCTGTAAACTCTCTCCCGGTTACACTTTAAATATTCCTCATTCATAAAAACAATCAACGCAGCCATCTTTAATTTGCGTATCTCAAGTTACGACAGCCTACTAGCTGTCTTAGTTTTTTTCTTAAATTTAAGAATTCGTAAGGCTAAGAACGTTTCGAGAATAGGATAGTAAAAGTTCGTAAGCGCTAAGAACGGTTTTAAGAAGTTCTTAGGCCTACGAACGTTTCGAGAATAGGGGCCCTGATCATGTTAATTCTACGTTATTTTGGGAATGGTGTTTTCTTGTTCAGTATAACAGTTTTATATAGATGAATGCCACGCAAATGCTACTTCACAATATACCGTGGTGTGTAAATGGTAAGACAAGCCATGCTGTTGCCAATGTCAAGAATTGAGAAGAGTATATCCATCCGTGTTTACATTAGTTACTGTTCTTGCCGGAATATGTCTGTCATATGACGAGTAAAATGGTAAATATTTCACCTAATTCTTTCTTTTGCGCAAAGTGTAATACATGTTTAGTCTGTTTTTTAAATGTGACGTGAGATACGATATGCATCTTATGTCTTAAATGTAATGTGAGATGCGATATACATGTGCTTGCTAACTTGAGAATCTTGAATCTCAATGTTCCAGAAAGCTCCCAAATTGTTCTTGACTCTCGGTCACCACCCCCTACTGAATCTGATCAGAAACATTTTAGTACAATGACAACATTGTGTTTCAATGAAAACCCTCAAATTATATTTCCTGTTAACGTAACTGCATACCTCATCCGTGATGCCTTCCGGAGAAGAACGGTGGTAAGTGAACTTCATGGCATTCACCTATTCGTGACTACATTTTAGTCTGTAGTTTAGATGGTACCACCACATAATTATAACCATGTCACATTCGAATTACAACCTTTGAATCAACATGAATCGTATTGGTCTCACACGGAAATAGATGACGTGTTTGGTTCTGCTGTCTAACTCTACAAAGACTATCAACACATGAGATGTTAACGACACCTTTCCACAGCAATTTGAAAACATTTTATCAATCCAGCTTTGGATAGGAAATAACAGCAACGATCCACTGAGGAAAAAACAATCAATAGAAACTCAGCATACATCTAACATCAGACTTACGAAGGACTTCAATCGCTGTACAAATACAGTGGCAAAATGATATAAAAGCAGCTGTGATCATTTTCATCATTCAAGCTTCCAACATAGAACCTGATTGACAATCCAGAGTGAGTGAAAGGTGCTGGTCTCGTTGTGCCGGTTTTGATGTAATATGAGATACGATATGCATGTGCTTCCTCAGTTATATAATCTTAATATTTTCTGGACGGTTCTATCATATGCTGGATTAATCTCAATGTTCTACAAAGCTTCCAAATTATTCTTGACTCTCCGTCACCACCTCTACTGAATCAGACCAGAAACATTTTAGTACAATTACAACATTGTGTATCAATGAAAATCCTCAAATTATATCTTCCTTCATAGTAACTGCATGCCTAGGCACCTTCTGATCTGATCCCTGATGCCTTTCGGAGAAGACCGGTGATAAATGAACTCCATGGCATTCATCTAAACATGAGCAATGTGGAATCCATTTTACTTTTTGTCGTTTCGGGAAGAATCGTCTCTTTGATGGAAAGTTGAAAATTACATTCACAGATGTACGACATATAGAAAGCTGAAAATAAAATATATCCTCTATATGCATTACGTTGTTTTTGAACATTTACACTGCAGTGTTAGCTACGATATATTAGACGTGATCATGATGACATTTACTTTTTACTTATAACACCTTCACTGGCATATATTTTACTAAAGCAAAACAAATGCCTCATCATATCGATTTTCTGAGAAATAAACATATTGTGTACAAATGACTTCTCGTACGGGCTGGTCTTAAAATCGTTGCAGTTCCATAAAAGAGCAGTTGCTTTTCGAGCTGCTAACCTTTAAGAAGTCAGGAATCGATTGTGATGTCATGATGTATTTTTACGAGACACAACGCCTCCTTTAAATACAGCCTAATATCAAAGCCTCAAAAGCACACACACACACACACACACACACACACAATTAACAGAACCAAAAACACCAGTAGCATCAATACAACAGAAAACGTGCTTATACATAAAACGGTGACACCTGAAACGCTATTTGTGCCATCTGGAAAACATATTTTTTCTTGTTCGACCAATCAGTGGTTATTCTTTGAGAACAGAACAATACTGCCCCATGAAGTATGTGATGGTTATCCATCATATTTAACAGTGTTTGAGAGTGAGCAATGTAAAATTTATTTTGGTTTAAACGTGTGTCAAAACGTGACTGTTGCCTACTAAATCTATGCATAAATTGTCTTCTTCCATTGTAGTATTAGGTGCCTGGGGTAGCCTGGTGGTCCAAGTGTTCGCCCGTCATGTCGTTGACCCGGTTTCATTACCCCGTATTACATTACAATTGTTTATGGCAGCAATAACACAAAATCAGTTTCTCAAAAACGTTTCAAGCGGGGAGATAGCTGTATACGAGAATGAATAATATATCCTTCGGCATTCCAGGCAGACGAGCTTCTGTAGTTTTACCAGTGGTTCATAAACTACAAAATACAACGATAACACAACATGTCTGTGTGATGTTTCTAGACCATATGGTTCTTGCTATGCTATAATGAGAGTTATATCTGCCCTTCTCACGGACATAATATCGGTCATAATAAAGCATTTGCGAGATCACCATGAGGAGGCAAGGAGAACAAGTGCGTTTTGGTTGCATATATGTTCGGGGATGCAATTAATACAAATCCAACAGATATATGTTGGAATAAATGTACCATCCCGTCAACATGCCTCAGACAGGGCAAACAAACGGTGTTTGAAGGACGAGCTTTAAGTTATCAATAGAGGTGTTTAGGAATGGTGTCTGCAAATGAGCGAGCTTTATAGTGTAATTACAAAACTACGAAGGGCGAATATCACAATGAATTAAAACTAGCGTGGAAGGTTTCAATAAAGAGTGACAAATCACCAGACTAGGAACCGGCAAGGAAATGTAGATATTGGTAACCCGTGGATCATGGCTCCCTCTTATCTATGTGTGTTATCTACTTCCCTCCATCCTCGATGGCCACAATGTACATGTGTATCCCCAAACCTCACAATCAATAACAATTAAAGCTGAAGAACCCCTTCCAGCAGGGATCTAGAGTTAGGACAGAGGAGATTGCACGCAACAATGTCGATTAATTAATCCCCAAGAAAGGTGCTGACCATTTTGAGATTGGTTATGGATCTTAAAGAGGCAAGTATCGCTTCATTTTTGTCAATATCTCCTCCAAATTATCTTCTTTACCGTAAATAAAATCTTGAAGTCGATATTTTTAGATCGTTGCCCCAATGGACGTGATTGATACCTCCAACGCATTCTCATCAGCACCTCAACTTCCATGGGCAATGTCTTTCAAAGGAGGTATCACTTTCTATGAGTTACTAGCATTAGGGACAAAGGATATATCAAGCAGACAGGTGTGCTCATTAGACATGACCTTCCTGATTCTCAGACTGGACCTATCCAATGTTAATAAGTATCCGTGGCTCTTCCTGCTACAACTGGTCACTGGGAACATTTTGTCTGGAAATGTCCCGATGGTATCGCGACGTGGCCAATCAACACTCGTTACATTGCTCCTTTAGTTAACTGCGTCCTAACTGTGCAGTTTAAAGGTGAAGCTGTGGTGCACCCTGTCTATAACTTTGTACGAAAAACAATTCCAGTCCACGCCAGTAATCTGTTCTAACATTCAGCCTTGCAGAAAACAGTGTACCCATGAGGGTCCGACTGATTGATTATTTAGTTTTCACTGAGTACTTTTTATGGATGCTTTCTTTAATGAATTATGTCTGCGAAGAGGTATGACCAACGGTACCCAATAGATCTTTACCCATCGGGAATTGGAATGCTGATAACCGTCAAATTGGTGGTTTTACACTCAATGTAGCCCTCACAAATGTCTCTTTTCCGTGTACTGGAAGTGACTTTAAAAGGAAGCAATGTACTCTACTCTTAGATGAAAATTACATTCATGTGTTTGTTGTGTTAATGTTACTGACTAGGATGCTGGCTGAAGGTCACGTCCAATCGTTCCCTGGTGCACCTGCTTACCTCCATTGACTCAGACGTCTTGAACATGAACCTCATTCCTTGCTTTTTTTC